ATCAATAACGATCTGAACCGATGAGCAGAATCAATATTGTTGTGTCAGCCTGTTAATCAGTGTGTTATCTTACAGGTGACAGCGCCTCCTGCTGGCCCGGCAGTCACTGTTTTTCCCTCGGCGTCCACACAGAAGCAGCGTGATGCGACGCACTGCAGCGGCAGGAAGTCTCCGTCTTCAGAGCATGCTGGGATGTAGATCTCAGCGCCGGCCGCCATGTTTCCTCTCACCTTCAGAGCCATCGCTCTCTCTCTCTCGCAGCGGGACGGACACCGAGGTCGGCGACCCCCGGTACGTGACCCCGAGACTTCCTGACCCTGAGGATCGACACACCAGCACTCCCCACCCCGACACTGAACCTCCTGGAAACCACCGCTCGGCGTACAGCTCGGGACGAAGATGGCTTCGTCCTCCACGTCTCTGGAGCAGGAGCGCAGCAGAGGAGTCAGAACCTGGAACACAACACGGATTAAATGAATCACAGTTTTTTACATTTTATTTTTTAATGTATTAAGGACTTTATTTTAAATCAGCAATGAGTGAACGAGTTGTAACGTTGCAACTTTCTCTGGAACACCAGACCAACGACAGCTTAGCTTAACTACAGTTTGCTAGTTGGATGCCTCCCTACAGTAACCTACTAACGGCAAGTCACCACAATATGATAATATATTCCACAAGCTGAATGCAGGACTTTTATTTTGTAGTATTTTCAGTGTGGCATTAGTACTTTTAGTTTGACTGACTTCCTGGATCTTTACCTGGTCCAGTGAGAGAGAGCTGCTCAGTCCACTCAGTGTGTGCTGGAGGGCAGAGAGGAAGGCGGGGTCCTCCAGGGCTCTGCTGACAGACAGAACCAGATCCCGGTTCTTCTGGAGGCTTTGAGAGGAGAGCCGATCCAGACCGAGGGCTCCTCGAGTTCCTACCGCCCCGCTGAAGTTAAAGGAGGCTGTGTTCTTCAGGAACTTTCCTCCAAACAGGTTCTCCTGGAGGCGACGAGGGGAGGAGCGATCCAGTGCCTGCAGAGCCCCGCCCACCGAGGGGAAAAGACCGCGGAGAACTTCGACCAGGCGAGACAGGAAGGAAGACTGATCCGCTTCCACCGGCAGGAGATCCCTGAGGGGTCGGAGGAGGGAGAGACAGGAGGCCGGGGAGCTGCCAGAGGAGGAGGCCTGGAGAGGAGGATCAACAGGACCAAAGAAGAGCTGGGACAGAGCCAGACGACGCTGAGAGAGGCAGTCACCAAGACCTGAACCTGGAGGAGGAGAGAGGAGAGGAAATGAGGAGAGGGACAGAACAAGAGGAGGAGAGTTAGAAGGATTGATCCCCTTTTGTTGGAGCTATGCTAGCAGTTTCCCCCTGCTTCCAGTCTTTGTGCTAAGCTAGGCTAACCAGGTCCTGGATATGTGTCTGTAGTGGACGCAGAGATCTTCTTATCTGACTGTGAGGAAGACAGTAGTTGTAGTTTGTTCCACTAACAGTAGTAGT